ATGTCTTCAGGAATGGCGATTGTATCATAGAGATTACTTTATTACTGTGATCSTCTTATATTAGACCATTATGAGACTTGCTTTTTTACTATGTATATATTGTGGAGTTGGAGCTATAAACGTTGCCACTAATTTTTATCGCAGCGACTTATCTTACAACGATTTTAYACAATCTCCATCACTGAATTGTCGGTTTATGAGCTTGTAAGTTTTTCTTTTCARTCCTACCCTTTATTTCACTTTTTATGTTCACTTATCACGRGTACTTTACAACAGGAATTTACTTTCAGCCCTTTCATCTTCAGCTTCAAGCACCACGTACGTCCCATCACCAACCTATACACACACACTTTTTAATTGTCTAGAATGATGTGACCTAACATGGATTAATCTTATAGAGATGCTTGGTGTTTAACAGACCAACTTACKTGCAGYAGAAASCCCGACCGTAAGTGTAACAAAATAAGCACTCCCTTTAGGTTAATTGTTATATCCATTTSTAAATTTTCATAAATGYATCTTACATTGCAGGTCATTCTTTATTTATTAAYTGTGGTGGAGCTAGATCAGACTTTGAAGGWAATGAATATGAAGAAGATTTGACCAGCGAGCAATCTTTCTTRTATTCTACTTCTGAGAGATGGGCCTATAGCACCAATGGTGTTTTCCTGGGCAACGAAGATGCTCCATTTACTGCAAGCACAACGAATGTGASAGGTGGAGATATATATAGAACAGCTCGTTTTTCTCCCTCTTCACTCCGGTACTATGGACTGTGTTTGCGGAAGGGGAGTTACAAAGTGAGGCTCCACTTTGCTGAAATAAGTTATTCTGACGACATGACATTTAGTAGTCTGGGAAGGCGTTATTTTGATATACTAATTCAAGTAAGTGACATACCAGCTTTTGTTTAGGTTGTATATATTTCAATTGGGACATTAGTTACAAACTTATAATTTGGCTTTTTGTGTAGGGGGTTCTGAGGAGAAAAGACTTCAACATCATGGAAGCAGCTAATGGTGTTCGAAGGGGCACCTTCATAGAGTTTGATAATGTTGTCGTTAATGGTAGCACGCTAGAGATTCATTTGTACTGGGCAGGGAAGGGGACTACTGCAGTTCCAGAAMGAGGTGTACATGGACCTCTTATATCTGCTATCGCAATAACACCAAGTTAGTACAATCTTCCTATCATATGTTCCATTTTCGTTCTTCCTCTCGCTTTAAGAGCATGTATAAAACCTACTTAGACCATCTCCAACGCATTCTTTATGATATCTCTAAAATAGAGAACCAAGATTCTCTATTTTGGAGATCTCAACATTTTGATTATATTATTAAAATACTCTATAATTTTGTAGTAATCCCATTACACTTTTATATAAAACAATATTAATTCAATCTCATTGGTGGGAGATAAATCATCTCTCTTTCCTTACATTCCGTTTTTCTGTTTTAGAGAATTTGTTGGAGATGCTCTTATTCTTCTTATTGCAGAATATGACGTCAGTACAGGAGGACTCACTGCT